TGCAATTTGAAATTGTTAGACTTTTTAAATATGCTAAGCAAATTAGACATCTGATTCTTTTAAAATTATACCTGTGCTTTACAAAGAATTTTCTGTATTATTTTTCCATAATGTAATTGAAAATGTATGCTATTTAGTATTTTGTTGTTGAAATGCTAGATAGGTGATATACTAGAAAGTGCATTACCTTATTAATCATATCAATCAGATCACATTTATAGAGTGTTAAGTGCTGTGCTCAGTAAGTACCCCTCCTCATCATCCTGCAAGGCAGATAATACTAGGTAACCGAGACCCACACAGATTGAAGAATGTGCCCCGGACCACTCACCCACAGGGTGGAAGACCCAGACTGACCCAGCAATCGTGGCGCCAGAGCCTGCTCCTTAGCAATGGCCTCCAGTCCTGGTGTCTCCACGGTCATCTTGGCAGGACCCTGACCCCTGTCTGGGCTTCCGTTTTGTCATGATTCTTGCCAGATTCTTTTGCTGTATGACACTAACTTTTATATTTAAAATTCTTTCTATTTATCAGACATAAATTTATATGAAAAAGTTCACACACATAACTTGTTTGGCAAAATTCATTTTATTAGTAATACAATTATTTTAGTTAATTGACCTTGTCTGTTCTTAATATGAAATATTAAAGTGAAAAGAATTATAAAAACACATGAACAGAACTAATCAGTATAGGAAGCCCATAGGAGATTAGAATTTTATGCTGTTTAGATATCTAAGTGGTGTAAATTACAGTTTTTAAGAGACCAAAAGATAAGATTATATGGCAGTTCTTGAAAATGTAGTTGATTTTAAAGTGTTAAATAAATAAAGCTTTGTACTTGAAAACATTTTAATTAAAACTTTTAATTAAACTTTTAATTTGAAATTCACTGTATACTTAGTGGTAATTGAAAGCAATTCAGTTAAATACAGAGGCTGATTTGTAGTCACTGGATAAAAGCTGATGTTTATTAAGGCCTAATGCCCTACCCTGTCATTTTGGGAAATAATTGAAGAAAAATGTGGCTTCCCAGGAGTCCACTCCAAGCTCCTGGGGTTGGTATGCGTGATACCTACTTGTTGAACTTCCCGCTCCTGGATAGTTCATCTTTTGTTATTGACGGTAAACAGAGAGATTGGCCTCAGCTTGTGTGGCTAACCCTAAGGTTTCATTGTAATTGGATTAATTGGATGGTCATATTTTTCTATATATTTTATGGATTTTAAATTAAAGTTATTTACAAAGCTTTACAGCCTTATAAGGTTATATTCATAGTCCCATCTCACATAGCCTTAGTAATTATTTACATTTTTCTTTCATAGTATTTGCATGTTTTATGAATATGTATGTAGGTACACATGCCCACGTGCTCTCTCTCATAGTCTGTATTATGTACTTTTGGCAAGTTAATCTCAATAGTTAATAGTAGTTTATAGGAAGGAAATTCGTATACCCTTTTTAATGAACAGCCTTGATTTTGTTGTACTCTTTGTATTCATATTTTGTTAGAATGGTGTTTTTTTGGAGACTTTTTTTAGTTTGAATCTTGGTGCAAATGGTGTATCTGAAAATCATGCCATTTACGACTTCACTCTCAACAGTGATAGTTGATATATTTGTATTTATTATTTTATATCTTTACTTATAAAGCTTACATTTTCTAATTATATTGACACCTTAAGATTTCTTACTAGAAATCACAAAAGAGTTCTTCGAGTCTGGTTTTTGTTATTACCGGTTTTGTATGCACTTTACAAAGTACCTCAGATTGAAAAGTAACCTTGAGAAAGGGAGTAAGACAGGAATGTGGTCCAGCATCCCACTCCATAGAAACTGTTCAGTAACCTACTTTCTCTTGGTTTGTTCTGTTTAGTGCCTTAATATCAGAAACTTCAGCTAAAGCAGAGGGCCCTAGCAGACACAAGGCCCTGAATTCTGGATAGCAGCACTCTGGAATTATCTGTCCTTTGAGTTTTTAACTGGTGTGATTTGAGGCCCATAGCCACGCACAGAGCACTGTGGCCCTAATGGCTACGGCCCCTAGAGTGCTTTGCTTCTCAACGCAAGCAGCATTTCCACTGAGAAGTTTCTTTGGATTTTAAGGTCAGAAAATGTTATAATCAATATGCTTGTTATTTCTAATATAAATCAGGGCAAAGTGCAATTGCTGGAGAAGAACATCCTAAAGGCTCCATTCTACAGGAAGTGCACCTCAAATTCCTGCTAACAGGACTGATTTCAGGACTGCCGTCACCACAGTTTGCCATCCGTATGTGCCCACCATTGACCACAAAAAACATCAAGATGTATCAGCCACTCCTTGCTGTTGGTGAGTATTTGACCTGTTCTTTGTTAACTTTATGAGACGTTTAGGTTTCCTCTTTGTAAAAAATTCTTTATTCTCTTTGAAGATGCTTTAAAAGGAGATAGAGGCTAAGTAAACTTGTATAAATACCCATCTTAAAACATTTTTCTTATTTTTTCTGCCGTTTAATTCCATTTGTCTTATTTTTTAATTGCACTCATCCAGCTGAGATTGGACAATCATGTCTCTAACACTCAGCACGTTTCTGAAATATCAGGAGCCTTGTCTCCGTGTGACGCTAAATCACAGACTCCTTGTCCTTTCAGGGACCACCCTCGCCTACCCGAGTCTTTCTGTGTGTGTCATTTTGTATTTGGTCGTTGTTAATGAAAAATACAGTCAGAATTAACAGTTTAATAATAGGATTTTTTGTTTGCTAAGAATTGAATGTTAAATATGCTTTCCCTGTTTTTTTTCCTGTGGCCATCTTCTGAAAGTAATTTGAATTTTAAAATTCAGTAGTCTGTGTATTTGTGTCCATATTTATATAAATGCAGATAAATGTTTAATTTTTGTTTTACAAACTATTGGTTTGTGCTTAACCTCTAATCGAGATTTTAATCTGGATTCATCAGTGTAAGTTTGTATGTACAGGTATGTACAATGTCAGTGTACCTGATTTGTCAGTTAGGACGTTGTCAGTTTGTTAAGGAAAATCACTCCATGGAACTGCTATAAAATAAGAGCTGTGGCAAGGTCTGAGATTTCCATAATAGATTGAGCTGTATTGTACTAGCATTGAGTGAATATTATCGTTACTGACTTTAGCATAATAACAAAGTAAAAGTAAAAACTTTAAAAAAAGGTGCCTGAAGTTCTGCAGTGTCAGTAAGGAAGATAAGCACAATTTAACTGTGGGATTACTTCTTGCACTGCCCCTAAAGTATAGGTCATGAGTTCACCATCATGAAAACTTTAGATTGTACAAATCATTTGATTATTATGAAGATCTTTAGCTACTTTTTCAGTATCAGAAGATACTATTAAGGAATAGATGGTAAGTATAAGCAACTGTACAAAATATTTTTCTTTTTTCCTTTTTTTCTCCAGTGGTAAGATAGGATTTTTATTAGACAGAAAGGAATACAAAAAGTAAAAAGCACTGTACAACATATTTTTCTAAAATGCTTTGATAGGTTTGGCTCCTATAGTACAGTGGTTATGGCACCAACCACATACACCAAGGGTGGCAGGTTCAAACCCAACCCGGGCCTACCATACAACTGCAATCAGGGTGTCGTGGCAGGTGCCTATAGCCCCATCTACTTGGGAGGCTGAGGCAAGAGACTCGCTTAAACGCCAGAGTTTGAAGTTGCTCTGAGCCGTGACGCTAGAGCACTGTACCGAGGGCACATAGTGAGACTCTGTCTCAAAAATAAATAATTAAATAAATAAATAAAAATAAATAAAATGGTTTTGCAAAAGATTTCTGGAGCTTTATTTACTAAATAAGATAAAATCAGAATTTCCTGGCATTTTCATTTCCATCATGTCGCTTTGGATGAATTCATTAATCTTTTTAAATTATGTACAGTGAGAAAGTGATTAAATAATTTGTTCACTTTCCTTATATCATCTATAAATACATTATAAACATGGACTATTTACTTTCTCAAGTATTTCCTGTCCCTCTGCTTAAACTTCAGACTTACTACTTGAGACCATGAAAAGCTTTAGGAATAGTAGTAACTATAAACTATGAATTACAGTGATAAGAGAAACACTAATAGCCAGATGCTTACTTTGTAACAGTCTGCTAAATATTTTACATGTATTTTCTCATTTAATTTCTAACAAATAATTTCTACTGTTCCCATTTTAAAGAGGTAAAAACACAGATTTAGTGTGGGCAAACAATTCAGCCAAAAGTATTGGTCAGAGCCAGGGCTTGAGCCCAGGCTTCCTTACCTGCAGAAGCCACAGTTAACAATCATACTTTGTCATCTTGTCAGGATTTATTTAATATGAGAAAAAGTAAAAACAATAAATAGAATAATACAAAAACTCAATTCATGAGCTTGCCTAGGTTGCCTTTTTGAGGATTAGTTATAAGGAACCCCCTGAATCTCAAAGGTACAAATTCCCATGTATGGAAATGCTTAGCAAAGTTTCTTTAAATTGTTATGTGTATGGATTTAAGTTTTAAAATCCTGGTATGAAAATCTATCCCTGGAGTTAGGCAAGATTTCAGAGCACATGAAATTAGGCTTATTTTTGATGAGGGAGTAGAAAGAGAAATTCATTCTTTTATTTATTTATTTATTTGATACATAACTTAAGACCTTTAAGGAAAGATAAATGTTATATAATGATTAAAATCTTGAGAAGGACTTTGACTGGGAAGATCTGGAATGCCCACTAAATGGATAGTCTCCTGTTGCATCATTTTGATAGGTACAGGCAACGGTTCTGTCCTGGTGTACCACCTCACCAGCGGTCTGCTGCACAAGGAGCTGAGCATCCATTCCTGTGAAGTCAAGTGAGTGTCATCACCGTGGCGCCATCACAGGCTACATGGTGTCAGGGAGAGGTTCTCGTGGGCTTTTCTACATTCAGTGCTCTGTAGTGGACATTATTTGACTGAAAAATTGAATAATACATATCCTTTATTTTTTCTTCTTTTATTTTTTATTTTTAAGTGGCCTTGCACACAAAAAATTGAGTACAGGCTGAGAATTGTTCCTTTTCATGAAAATCTTTAGTAAAAGGTGAAAGATTTATACAATCTGAGGAGAAACCAGAGTATTGGTTAATACATATTCCTATCAGTTAGTGGCTGTGTTACCAAGGATGAGTTCTGATTGTTTGCTTTGTAAGGAACATAAGCAGTAGAGAACTCTTTCTCTTTTATTGCTATATCTTATTTATTTATTCTGAAGTACAGCCTGTTTTCTCACTTGTATACTTATAAGTCCCTGTGTTGTTTTGTTCAGGTTTATTTTATATATTTTTTATTTCCATGAAGATCTATCAGTAGGACAGCTCATGGTAAATTTAAATAGTCATTTTAATTGTTAATTAATCTCTTTCTTTGTTTAAATACCACCAGGAAAGATTCCAAAATGATGTTGTACTTACTCCTTGATTTCTGAGGCATGATGTGTTTATGAGGGCTGCACATACAGAAATGTCAGGAAGGCTGCACTGACAGAAGGGCCGCTCTTGATTTCTGCTTTAAAGTGCATACTTTCTTCTCCAGAGAAGAAAGTATGTTTTGCTAAATGTAAGGCTTTTTTTGCAGTTTTTGGCCGAGCCAGGTTTGAACTCATCACCTCCAGTATCTGGGGCTGGCGCCCTACTCCTTTGAGCCATAGGCGCCGCCCAAGGCTTTTTTTTTTTTGGCCTATCAGTGGTAGATTATAAAGTTACACATAAATGATAGAAATTTCTGGTAGTTTCTGATGATCTTTTAATGAAAGCATATTTCTGTTTTCTGTAAGTTGGATAATTGTAGGTTTTGTGTATCTGCTAAAAGTCTTAGCAAACCCGTAGTGAACGTGTTTACTAAATGCATTTTCTGAGTGGTGAAGGATTAACCCTTTAACTATCACAACTTCTGATTGTGTTGAAAATCTCTGAAAAGTTACACGGCCCTGTTCTTTCGAGGGCACTGTGTTGTGGCACAGCTCAGGCGACTTGACTATTTGTTGCTACCTTATGCTGTGCCCTTGGAGTATCTCTGCAGAGACACTTACGTGGAATGGGAAGGTCTTCACAAGCCTGGAGCGCTGAGGGTACAGTGACACCGGGACCTGTTAGAACTCTTTCACGCTGCTCATCTTTTCTCTTGCCTGCTGTTGGGATGTCTGTAATTTGCCATTTGCATCCTTTTCCTAGCCTCCGCGCCGCTGCTCTGACCTCTCTCCCTTCCTTTCCTGTCTGTGCTTTTCTTCTCCTGACTTTTCCTTTCACCCTTGCATTTTGTGTGGTGTTTCCTTTTATGGCTAATACCAACCAATCAAATCTCTCTGTATAACCAGTATTTGTTCTAAGGATTAGGTTAAGTATTAATGTGGTGAATGCATCATTTCATTGAATCCCCAATACGACCATATAGGGTAGGCACTATATTTCCAATTTACAGAGAAAGAAACTAAGAATTACAGAGTAATATATGGAAGAAATAGATAGAATTCCTTCTAGGCCTTTTAAGCATCGGAACCTGAGCTCTTGATTTATACTTACAGTACGTGTCCTAGAGCTCCAGCTAAAAAATGCATATAGATTAGTAGGAATCATGTTGGCGACAAAATAAAAATGTTGTCTGAGCCAAGATTCATGGGAAGAATTGGACACATGCATCTGAAAAATCAAATATATTGTCATTTTTTTCACCCTTAACACTGAAATCTTCAATAAGCTAATTTATCAGTGAGGTATTAGTTTTAAGTAAGACTTGTTGTCCTGGGTCAGTCAGATTGTAGATGTGACTAAATATGTGACTTAACCTGCTATGATAATGTTTATGGGTGAGTAACACAGAAATTAATTAGAAAGTATTATTTGAGGTACTGAATAACTAAGAACATGCTACTCATAATAAACCCAATATATTCTAATTTTTTATATTCAAATTAATGCTTACTTTTAAAAAGTTGTTTTTCTACCTTGTACTAAATGTGTTTTGTAAAATCACATAATCTTCAGTACTTAAGTGTTGTATATGGCCAGGGACTATAGCCCTGTAGTCCCTGCACACAGGTGCATGTGTGTGTTTTTTTTAAAAACTATTATGTTTTAACCAGGGATATTTTACTCAGATTTTTACTGAGAATTGTCTGTACGCTTATAAATAGACAAAGCTTTTGATAATCCAGTGAAAGATACTTAGAAGTAAACAGAAAGAGTGGTACATTAGACTTTCTTAGACTATTAGATTATGTCTTTGTCTAATAAGCTGAGTTTATAATACCAATCAAGGATCTCTTATTCAAAATGCTTAGGACCAGAAGTGTTTCAGATATGTTTTTTTGTTTGTTTGTTTGTTTCAGATTTTGGAATATTTGCATACATATGAGACCTGATTCTAAAGACAAAATTCACTTATGGTTCATATATACTTTATACACATATAAAATTCTTGATCATTTTGTGCATGAAGCTAAGTTCATAAACATTGAATAATCGGAAAACAAAGGTACCATAAGAGTGCTCAAGAAGTTTTGGATTTTAGAACATTTTGGATTGGATTTTGGATTAGGGATGCCCAATCTGTAATATAGCTCAGTACTATTTTGAATGTCAAAAAATTATCATTACAACTGTAGCATATATGGATATCAGAACATTGATTGACTCAGTATTGCTTTGAATAAATTGAGTGATTTGCAGAAAGGAAAATGTTCTTTATTTGTCTGTAAATTTGCAGAAGGATTTTAGAATTTCAAGGCCTTTCAGAAAGCATGTTCTCCCACTGGCCACCCGGTGTTAACAAGGGATCTCTGTAGCAATGCCAGGAGGTGGTCAACAGGCCCAACTTAAGAACCTGTAGGAGTCAGAACCCTAAATAGCCGCTGGTAATTGTAAGGTTACAGTTTTTCAGTGGTTAGGAATGCTACCAGAAAGAAATTCTAGATCCAGTCAGAAAATGAGCTGCGGTTCTTATTAACTTTTTATAGACCTCAGTGCTTAGTTAGATCTAGGTGATAGAGTTCTAATCCTGAGGGCAGCATGGCACTCAGCTGTGTTCGGCAAGAGCTTTTATTCTTTTCTTTTGAGAAATAATCCCTTCCTTATCTAATCCACTTTGAAGTTCAAGGCGATCTGTATTTTCTTCAGGAGGAATCAGAAAGACATGGTGCTTGTGTAATCTATTCAAAGGCAACGTGCTCCTACTGCTGGATGAAAAATAAGCAGCCACCCTTTGTTCTCTTATATCCCATACACCAGAACATCTTATAAACAGTGGGGGGGGGGGCACTTCTCTGAAAATCCACACTAATAAATGTAAGGTGTGCTAAACTTTCTTGGACACTATTCATTTAATCTAACGCCATTTCCCGAGTGCTTATCCTGTGCCTGGAGAGACGTGACAGGGTACCTCCCTGACAAGAGAGTATAATCTAGCCCAGTATTTCTCAGCCAGTCATTCAGGCTTAGAGTCAAGCCTTCTTTGCCCTTTGGGTCTGCGCTCTAATAGTCTTCCAGGCAGCCCTTCCCGGCCCCTGAGACCAGACTGTGTCTGATTCTTACCTGGTTCTGCTACACTCTTCCCCACTTTCCATTGTGGCAGTGTGCACTCTATAATGTCTCTTTTCTGCTGAGTAGTAAGCTCCAGAGGGACACAGTTACATTTTATCTCATCCATGGCTGCATTTCCAGTGCCTAGCACAGTCACTAGCATGGATCACATACTTAACAGATACATTTTTAGAAATAAATGAGAAATGGGAGGACTGAAATTTCTGTAGTCCAGGGACAGTGGCATCACTGTGCTGGAGCATGATTAGTTCAGACTGCCAGCAGCAAGACCTGGACGGGGTCTTAGGGTTTCACTGGACAAACAGTCCGATTGGAGCTACCACAATAATACAGAGAGAAGAATATGTCCAAAGTAATTTCTCTTATCTTTTGTCACTTTAAGTAGAAAAATTAATGAGTACTGTTGCTGTTAGGAAAATGAGAGGAAAAATAAAAGTCAAAGGGACTTTTCTAGAGACTAGTTACCCAAAGTAGTATTCACTGGGGGTGTGGTTTGAGGTGAGATGATAGAGAGGCCTTGAAGAAAACAGGGTTTGAGTTAGATCTTGAAATGAGAATCATGATGATAATTGCCAATATTTGCGGTGCTTACTGTGTACTCAGCATTATTCCTGCACAACAGATGAGGAAATTGAGATGCAGAGAGCATGGAGCTAATGAGTGTTAGAGCCAGGACTTGAGCTCCAGCAGTGTTTGAAGAGGAGAGAGGTCATTCCAGGCAGGTATTCCAAAGGTATTCACTTTTAAGCAGCTTAATCTGAGTGTTTCAGTGAAACTTGACTAAAGAGTTATAATTTTTGATAACCACAACAATTCTCTGCTATTGCAAATTGCTTTTAGTTCTCTTTGAATTGTTCTTGTCCCTCAGAGAAAAGACAGGTAGTTAGGTGCAAGGGAGTAGTAAGGAAGGAAGGTTATTTTCATTAAAATGGCAGATAAGGTCAGCTTGGTTAGGGAGGATGAAGCAAATGGCTGGATGGCCTTTAAGGCCATAGCGAGGAGTTTGGGTGTTATACAGGAAGATGTGCCTTCTTGGGCAAATAAGAGACGTGTTCAAAATTGTGTTTCGTGCTAAATCTGGCACTGGTATTCAAATCGGTATGGAAGTGGATCAACTAGAGCAGAGGTCGGTTACGTTTTCTATAAAGGGCCTGACAGTAAATATTTTAGGCTTTTAGCTCTTAAAACCTTTGTCACAATTACTCAAAACTGCCATTGTCTTGTGAGAGGTGCCATAGATGATAGATTGTTTTTAAAAATGGCTGTCCCATAAATGCCAGTGAGCAGTTGCATATAAAAGAGAGGTTTAAGACTCTCTGCCCGCCATCCTCTGTCACCCGGTAAGCAATGCAGAGGTTCTGATGGGCTGGCTTGTTGTCCCAGCGGGGCCTTCTCGCCTCCATTCTCTGCAGATCATGATGGTTTGCACCGTCCACTTACGCTACTGGGAAAGTGTGTCATCACCTCCTGTCAGCCCACAGAAATGAGGTTCCCCAGGCAGGTTGCCGTCTTGTCATACATATCTTTTTCTTTGAGATTTTTCAT